TTGAGTCTCATCCTATTTCCAGGCTGGAGTGCAGTGGCACGATCCCGGCTCACTGTAACTTCTGCCTCTTGGGTTCAAGTGATTCTCCTGCCTCAGCCTCCCAAGTACATGGGACTACAGACAGGCATGCACCACCACTCCCAGCTAATTTTTTTTTTTTGTATTTTTAGTTGAGGTTTCACCATGTTAGCCAGGATGGTCTCGATCTCCTGATCTCATGATCCACTTCCCAAAGTGCTAAGATTACAGGTGTGAGCCACCACACCCAGCCCTGGGGCTTCCTTTATACTCTTGCTATGTTTAAATGAGGTCCTTTTATTTCTCATTTGCAGAGAGAATAATTTTAATGTTATTTAATGTATAAACAGTATAGAAAAGATAGGGTCATTGCTCACCAACTTTTCCAGTCTTTGTTACATGTCGGCTTATTTTGGAATTTTAAGCACTTACTCTGAGAAGCAGATGGGTTGTAGACTTCAAACTGTGATCGCTGATAATTAGGAGTTAACACATAGGTTCTATGCAAGAACAGTATTTCACAGTGCCTACACGTTCAATATTGTAAACATTTCTACTTTGACTTCGTGTGTACTGTGCCCTTTCTGTAGAGAATATATTAAGAAAAGGAAACACTTTTCCAAAGCTTTGAATCATTGCAAATCATTTTGGTCCAATTCAGTGAAATTTGGATCAATGAAATTTTACACAATCCAGCCCACCTTTCCGGTGTGGGTTAATTGTACCCACTGGGTGCTGAGGGTGGGGAGGTTGCACAACTTTTAAAGAGGTAGAGATTGGGGTTTATAGTATATTTTTCATGGCATATATAGCCAGGGAAGGAATAGGTTTTGATAAGTTGCTAAGATACTGGTTATTACGCCCGAAATGCTCTCAGCTCTGGGAAGACTTTATCTTGCGCACGTTGTGACTGGGCTGCCTGGAAGGCAGAGTGCGGGGCTGGAGAAGCCGGTCCAGAAGGCAGGAATTCTGAGGTTCAGTCTCACATCAGCCACTAGCTCACTTAATCTAAGGGTATTGGACAGGATGCTTTCAGCTCTAAAAATTTCAGTGACACATACTGAAAGGCTGTGAGTATGTCCACAAAAGACGTGTACACAGATGTTCATCGCTGCATTCTTTATAACCAAAAAGGGAAAACTACCTGCATGCTCATTAATAGGCAAAGCCGTATCATGGGTTGTTCATATAATAGAATACTACACAGCCATGAAAAACAAACTGCTGACTCATGCGACAAGCTGAGGGAATCTCATGGCTACTGAGAGCACAAAAGGAGCAAGACATAAAATATACATTAGTACTTGAGTCCATTTATATGAAGTTGAAGTTCAGGGAAAACTAATCAATGTTGATACAAGTTAGCATAGTCTTTGCCTTGGTTCCCTCTGGAGTAGGGACATGTAGACTAGGAAAGTGTCTGAGGGGAGTCTTTGAAGGGCCTGGAAATGTTGTACGTCTTCATGTAAAACATCATTAAGCTGTGTACTTAGTGTAAGTGTACTTTGTTTTTTTTGGAAACGCGGTCTTGTTCTGTCACCCAGGCTGGAGTGCAGTGGCGTGATCTCAGCTCACTGCAACCTCTGCCTCCCAGGTTCAAGCAATACTCCTGCCTCAGTCTCCTAAATAGCTGGGATTACAGGCGCATGCTGCCACGCCCAGCTAATCTTTTTGTATTTTCAGTAGAGATGGGGTTTCACTGTGTTGCCCAGGCTGGTTTCGAACTCCTGAGTCAGGCAATCCACCTGCCTCAGCCTCCCAAGGTGCTAGGATTAACAGGTGTGAGGCACCATGCCCAGCCTTTTTGTTTTGTTTTGTTTTTCTTATTTGGGATGGAGTTTGCTGTGTTGCCCAGGCTGGAGTGCAGTGACACGATCTCAGCTCATTGCCACCTCTGCCTCCCGGGTTCAAGTGATTCTCCTGCTTCAGCCTCCTGGGTAGCTGGGATTACAGTGGCCCGCCACCACGCCCAGCTAGTTTTTGTATTTTTAGTAGAGATGAGGTGTCACCATGTTGGCCAGGTTGGTCTCGAACTCCTAACCTCAAGTGATCCACCCACCTCGACCTCCCAAAGTGCTGGGATTACAGGCCTGAGCCACTGCGGCCGGCAGTAAGTGTGCATTTTGTATAATATACCTAAAAAATTAAAAATTACAAAATGCATGCAGGGCCTTCCCTATGGCCACCTTCAGACAGCTATGAACATCGCCAGGGAGAGCCCCGAATGATGGCTGTCATCAGTAACATGGGCTGGGTTGTTGAGCTGGCACTAGGAAGGGGTGGCCCAGGCCCTCTGATAAATCTTCAAAGGCTTCCTGGCAACCATGCAAATGGAAATAACCAAACTTAGAAGGATTCCAAGATCCTGGGGTGATTCTCCGGCAAACCTGTCCCCAGGGATGTTGGTCTAAGAACCTGTAAGAGCAGGGTATGTGTAAGGAACCCAGCATATAGCAATAGCTTGTTGCTTTATCACACGCCTTGGTGTCCGTCTTGCCTCCTGTCCACACAGCGGCAGAGACTGATCAACTCGGCAAACGGTGTGGGCAGCAAGCAACTTCAAAACGGAAGACATGAGAACATTGAGAACGGGAATGTTCCTGTGGAAAACCCCGAAGACCCTCAGCAGAATCAGGAGCAGCAGCCGCTACCACAGCCACCTCCCCCAGAACCAGAGCCAGTGGAGGCTGGCTTCCTGTCCCCGTTCTCCATGCCCGGTGAGTTCTGGAGGTGCTGGACTCTCGGGCTGCATTTTTGGGGGCTCCATCAGGACCAAGCCCAGGTCTTCAGGATGGGCATGGACTTGTAAGGGTGGTGGAGGGCTAATGTGAAGGGTTGCTATTAGGTCATTGGAATACTTAGGATGTAAATCTGTCCTCAGTACTGAACTGTGGCTTACAGCTGCAGTGGGGCACGGGCATTGCCAAGTGCAGCAAGAGCCTTGGGCCAGAGAGCAGGGCGGCCGCTGGCCTGGGGAGCACCAGCGACCCCTAGTGACCACACTTAAATGCTTAGGGCAATAGATGTTTTGTCTAAGAAAAGGCAGTCCGCAATGTTATTTTTAGGGACATTCTCGCACTGTCTTAGCCCTTGCAGGACGGGCAGGACGTTTTGCCTGTACATCTTCTTCTTTGCCAGACAGTAGATTCTAAGGCCACAGGTGATCCTTAGACAGTCATACCTTGTGTAAAAATTAGCTGAGCATGGTGGCACGTGCCTGTAATCCCAACTACTCAGGAAGCTGAGGCAGGAGAATTGTTCGAACCCGGGAGGCAGAGAGCGTAGTGAGCTGAGATCGCACCACTGCACTCCAGCCTGGGCAACAGAGCGAGACTCTGTCTCAAAAAAAAAAAAAAAAAAAAGGGCAGATACACCTCGTGTATTTGAAAATATCTCCTACCCATAAACAAGTCAAATCAGACTGAGGCTCTACAGCAAGCCCTCCAGGGTCCTCCCGTCTCACTTGGAGTCTGACCTGCCAGCCTCCATGTCATCTGACTGCTGACTCCTGCTGACCTCAGCTCCTGTTCCTGTCCCTCTCCTGGTCCCTGCTCCAGCCATACCAGCCTCCTCACTGTCATTCCTAGAACATATCAGCCGTGTGCCTGCCCCAGGACCTTTGCACCTGCCCTTTGTTGGAATGCACTTTCCCCAGGGGTCCACATGCTCACTTCTCACCTTCTTCATGTCTCTGCTTAAATGTCACCTCTTCCTTCTACCTCATTTAAAATATTTCATCGTTTTCTTGTGTCTCTTGCCCCCACTAAAATATCAGCTCAACAAAGTAGTCACCTTTGTCTACTGCATTTATCTGCATTCCCAATGTTCAGGACTGGCCACATAGTCGGGGCTTAGTAGGTACCTGTTAAATTAATGAATTCAGGTATTCGTGTGTGAGGGGATCCCAGGACCCACCCAGCCTGGCTTCATCTTTAACTAAACCTTCCGTGAGGTCCTCTGCAGTCCTCTGTGGGAAACAAAGGCCCAAGCTGAGATGTTTGGCCCCGTTCTTGGAGGCATTTTTCTTGGTGTCCACCATCCTGGAAAGAGGCAAGATTCCAGAACTTTCAAGTCCAGAACTTGATGTTTTCTGAAAAAAATTCTGTGTTTAACATCAGGTACACTGAGCCCTTGATTTGGGAGGTTACTCTGCAGGGACAGAGGCTGTCCTGCCTCTTGTCCCATCTTTATGGGAACACCCATAATGCCGTAGGTGGCGTGGGCCTGGCAGCCTGGGGTGCTCTGCTGCTTGCTTCGGCATGGAGAGGCAGGCTTCGTTTTTGATCACAGAGCTTCCCTGGTGCTCCTGGGTGCGAGATTCTGGGGCATGCTCATCGCAGCCACCCAGGGTCTCGTCCCAGAATGCCCGGCCTGGTTCTGATCCTGGACATTCCAGAGTCTGGAGCGGGGCCTGGGAATCTGCATTTTCAAAACTTCTCCTGTTGCTTCCTGGGACCTGGCTGGTTCAGAATTGCTGTTACTGCCCATCACGTCCCAGGCTTTCTTCACATTAAGGGCAGACTCAGAAAATGAAATGTGTTCTCTGACTGAGGTCACAGAGGAGCCTAGCCCAGGGGTCCAGGCCTCCTAGGCCTCCTCTCTGAGGGGATTGGTGTCTGGGCCTGTCTCAAACACTTCCCTGGCACATCTGCACACCTGCCCACGTGCTCTGGGGGGAACAGGGGCCCTGCTCAGCCAGTCTGGCTGGTGGGGATAGAGGTTGTACCATGCTTGGGTCAACTCAGCCACCAAGGCCATATGTGGGACGTGCAGAGCAGGAGGGGTGGTCTCCAGATCCTAGGTCCCCTTTCCAGCTTACCTGTTGGGATACAGCACAGGGGGGATTTCTGCGCTGGGAGGGCAGTGTGTCCACCCAGAGAACCAGCTCACGGCGATGAACCAAGACAGGCCCTGTGTTCACAACAGGTACAGGCAAAGGCCATGATTCGTGTCTGGGTCCCCCTCACAGCCCCAAATTATCAAATCCCTAGCCCAGTTTCCCTCCTGTGTCCACGTAGGGCTGGGGAAAGGTCAGAGCTGCAGTCACCAAAGGAATTTCCGTTCCTTGGGGCCTGGAGACCAGATGCCAGGGAGGGCCGGAGGGCCAGAGCAGGCTGCTTTAAGGGAGATGCAACCGCAGGCCAGGAAACAGCCGAGCTTATGAGGAGTGGGGCAGGGGGAGCCACTTGCCATCTGGAGAGTCCTCTGTGCCCGTTCTCCACCCCATGGGGTGGGTGGCGGAACCCACATTTTGCAGATGTGGGACCTGATGGGGCCACAGCTACCACTTCCCCACAGTGGCCACTTCATCTGAATCTTGGTATCGAGGCTGTCCACTGTCCAGGTGCTGCAGGAAAACCAGTGAAAGGGACGTGCCCTTCTTGGTCATCCTTACCTAAGCAAGCCAGCCGTAGGTAAGGATGCCTCATCTTCCCATTGCATAAGCCCAGAGTTTGACAGGATTGTGCAGGGAGGACCCTGGACCAGCCACGCTTTCACTCTGTCCTTGTACTGGGAGCTGCCGTTTCACAGAGAAGTGGCTGTGCGGCCTCTGGACAGGTCACCTCCCAGGTCAGGGGCTTAGAATGCAGCTGTCTTGCAAGGGCTAGGACCAGATGGCTCCTGGGTCCTCCCAGCTTCCAGGTTCTCTGCACCCCTGAGTCCTCCTCTGAGGGGCTCTGCTCTTGCTTGGGGCAGGACTTCCTGCCGTATAGTGACCCACCTTCTTCCTCAAGCCAGAGGCTCCGGGCTGTTCTCCTGGGCTCAGTGCATCCCTGAGCCAAGTTCAGCACACTTCCTCTGCGCACGTGTCCTCCCCGTCCTCAGGAACAGGCCTCAGCATCCTGCCTCCCAGGGGAAGCCTCTTTTGTGCGCCTGCGGATGTGTTTCCAGGTGTTGTCCCTGGAAACCACAAGCGGCTTCCTTTTCTCCTTCCTCCCTCTCCCCTGTGAGGAGCAGGGGCTGGGAACGGAGTTGTACGGCTCCTCGTTTAGGTGTGTACAGCTGCCAGGAAAATTGAGGCCCCAGGTGGGCAGAGGTTAGCAGGAAATTGGAAAGCGTCAGTGAGACTGCACCGCGACAGAAACACCCTGTATCCTGCCCCCGGCCCTGCCACCACCTACCTCACCCCACCCACCCCTTGTTCAGGTGTCACGGTGGCCTGGGGCTGCAGGATGGCTTTGAGGGTGTTTCTTAGGGGTGGATGCAGCTCATATTTTCCAAAGCTGGGGCACTGGAAGGAATCACAGAGTCAGGGGAGGAGTCACAGGGCCAGGGGCCACGGGAAGAGGGAGAAGCCACTCTGCCGGTGAGCTCGGAACCAGCATAGCTTTGGGTGTCTAGGAATAAGTCTAGCCCCGTACCGATGTGCAGTTTGTGTGTGCTGTCAAGGACAAGCTGGGAGGCCAGCTCTGGAGTCCAGAAGTCCTGGGTTCAAATCTCAGCCCTGCCACTCACCAGCAGGGTGACTCTGGGCAAACTGCTTCACCTCCCTCAACCTCCATTCCTCATCCACAAAGTCGGGGGTGATGGCACCTACCTCCCAGGGTTGACCTGAGTCACAAATCGGATACTTTAGTCAAGGTCTATGCACCGTGTTTGGCACACAGTACAAATGTTAGTGTGAATCCTAGTGTGCTTTAACCATGCAGCTTCTGTTACCCTCCCATTTTGGGACTACAGTGTTCTAGAAAGATCATAGGTTCCAGAATCCCTGGGGGCCTGGGATGATCGGTCATTCCAGGGCTCAAGAAGAGGAAATTAGCCTGTACCAAGCACCTGTTATGTGCTGGGTCTGGGCTTTAGGCACTTTGTAGACAAGATGATCCTCTCAGTCAGTAAATGGTTAGGGCCCGGCTCTGTCCTAGGCTTTGGGGATCAGAAAGAAACAGGACAGCCACAGTCCCTGCCCTCTGGGAGCTTCTGGGCTTGCAGAGTAAATCTGAGCAGATAACGGCACAATGTGCTTTATGCATCATCTCCGCCCCTAGCACACAGCTGATAGGTGGGCAGGTGGGAAGCTGTAGCCTGCTCCCTCCTCACTGACCCAGAGAGGAATCGCTGGGATTGCCAGGGTAGAGCCCAGCAGCATCAGCAAGACCCAGCTTTGGTGCCCACCTGGCCTGATGGTGGATTCACATGTGGACGCCCAATACAGGCATGCTGTTCCCACTGTAGACAGCAGAGGCTGGTAATCGGGCCTCCCAGGGCTGGGTGTGGGCGGGGGAAAGAAGAGGAAGAGGAGCTTTCTTCCATGGAAACCATGGTCTGCAGTGCTGGCACCGCCCTGAAACCACTGGCAATGACCCTGAGCTGCAGCCCAGCTGGGAAAACTCCTGGTGCGGGTTGTTTGCTTATTTTGGCCCATAGTCCCGGAGATCTTGTGAGTCCACTGAGGCTGCACCCGGGCCCATCAACAGAACTTTCTCCTGCCCCCATAAGGGTAAGGAAATCACGTGGTTCTCCCCAGGACGGGCCTTCGGGCCACTTTTATTATAGCAGCCGACAGACAGCTACTGGGGCCTGGACATAGGTTAGGCACTACACAAGAAATGGGAAATTCTTCCTTTGCTCTAATTCTTACAGTAGTCAGCATGGGCTGTCGTCATAGAATGCCACCAACTAAGCAGCTTAAACAACGGAGATGTACTTGCTCACATTTCTTGAGGCTGCAACTCTGAGATCAGGGCGCCCTTATGGTTGGGTTCTGTGTCCCTCT